ATACTTCGTAAAGTACATTTCTCCCCAGAAGAACTCAACTAGATTATTTATCTTTCACTTGAGTTCTTACTTGTCTTCCCTTTGACACTTGGCTCTTACCCAGGGTGATAATGGATGTCTTGGTTGTCATCTTACAAAACTCAATTTCAATTAATTTCCTTACAATATGTTTTGGAACTGTCCCAGTAGATTGAAGTCTGCCAAATGTAACCACAATATTTACAATTGGAGGGAGGGAGAATACAGGGAATTACAGACTGGTGAGCACAACATCAGTAGTAAGTAAAATAAGAGGGTTTCTAATAAAGAATGCAACAACAGGACCCTTGGAAAATATCAAAGGATTAGACAAAATGAACATAGAATTATTAAAGGGAAATCATGTTTGACAAATCTGCTGGAGATGTTTGAGGATGTAACTACTGGAATAGATGAGGAGGATGTGGTTTATCTGGATTGTCAGTGGGTACGAGGTTATTGTGCAAATTCAAAGCACATGGGATTGGGAATAATATACTGGCATGAATTGAGAATTGCTTAACAGACAGGAAACAGAGAATAAATGATTTTTTTTGCAGTAGAAGGCAGTGACTAATAGGATAACAGAGGGACCAGTGCTTGGGCTCCAGCTATTTTCAGTACATATCAATAATTTGGATGAGGGAATTAAATGTGAAATTTCAAAGTTTGCTGACAACACAAAATTAGGAAAAATTGTGACTGGTGAGAAGGAAGTAAAGAGGTTTCAAGGCGATTTAGACAGGTTGAGTGAGTGGGCAAATATATGGCAGATGCGGATAAGTGTGCAGTTATCCACTTTAGTAGGAAAAACAGAATGGCAGAGTATTATTTAAATGGTGATAGGTTGGGAAGTGCTGATGTTAAAAAGGCTACTGGCAGGTGCAGTCAGTAGTGAGCAAGGCAAGTGGTGTGTTAGTCTTCATCGCAACAGTGTTTGAGTACGGAAACAAGGATATCTTGCTACAGCTGTAGTAATGTGCTCAGTTTTGGCCTCAAAGTCTCAGAAACCATAGACCATGGAGAGACTTCAGCAAAGCTTTACTACACTGTTTCCTGGGATGACAGGTTTGTTGTATTAGGAGAGATTGGGTCAACCTGGCCTGAATCCATTGGAGTTCAGAGGAATGAGTTCAGAGGCAGCTCACCTAAGATGTATAAAACTTTGCGAGGGCTGGACAGACCGATGCAGGGATGATGCTTCCCCTGGCCTGGGAATCTAGAACAAGGGGTCACAGTCTCAAAATACAGGGGAGACATTTACGGCTGAGGTGACGAGAGATTCCTTCACTCACATGGTGATGACACTGTGGAATAATGTACCTTGGAAGGCTGTGGAGATAAAATCACCTAATATATTTAAGAAAGAATTAGTTTGATTTCTGACAATAAATGCAGCAAGGAGTAGGTTGAGATACCCTTCCATCCTTTATAAGGTCAGTAGTGCAGATGGTTGCTGATGATTGCATAGCACTTATTGTGACTCCTCGGATACTGAAGCAGTCCATATTCAAATGCAGTAAGTCCTGACCAGGCTTGGGCTGACAAAAAGCAAGTAACATTCATGTCACACGAGTGCCAGGCATTGGCCATCTCCAACATGACATGATCTAACAGTTTACCCAAGATATACAATGGGATCACTATCACTAAATCCCACTATCAACATCCTATAAAACCATAAAAAAGGACAAAGAACAGGCCATTCAGCCACTTAAGCCTGCTCTGCTATTCAACAGGATCATGGCTGATCTGATATTCCTCACATCCACTTCCCTGCCTTTTCCCCGTAACCCTTGATTCCCCTACTGATCAAGAATCTATCTCAGCCTTAAATACACACAAGGACCCTGCCTCCACAGCTCTCCGTGGCAAGGAGTTCCAAAGATTTCACAACCCTCTGAGAGAAGAAATTCCTCCTCATCTCAGTCTTAAATCGGCGCCCCTTAAGTCTGAGATTATGCCCTCTGGTCCCAGACTCTCCCATGAGGGGAGCCACCCTCTCAGCATTTACCCTGTCAAGCCCCTTAAGAATCCTATATGCTTCCATGAGATCACCTCTGATTCTTCTAAACTCCAGTGTTAAGCCTTTGCTCATAAGACAATCCCTTCGTACTGGGGATCATCCTAGCAAATCTTCTCTGAATTGCCTCCAATGAAACTTTACCTTTCCTTAAATAAGGAGACCAAAACTGCTCACGGTACTCTAGATGTGATCTCACCAGCACCTTGTACAGTTGCAGTAAGACTTCCCTACTCTTATATTCTAACTCCCTTGAAACAAGGGCTAACATTCCATTGGTTTTCCTGACTATCTGCTGTAGTTGTGTGCTAGCTTTCTGAGTTCCTGGGACTGAACTGGACTAGCCATACATAAACTGTGGCTGCAAGAGCAGGTCAGAGGCTTGTAATTTTGCAATGCGTAATGCACCTCTGACTCCCCAGAGTGCTACAGGCCAAATGGACGACTTCTGCTCCAATATTCTCTTTATACCATCTACCAAGCATAAGTCAGAAGTGTGACTGAATATTGCCTACTTGCTTTGATGGTTGAAGCTACAACAATTTTGAAGAAGTCAGGACTAAGCAGCCTACTTGATGAGCGTCACATCCTCAAACATCCACTCCCTCCACCACTGATGCTCAGCAACAGCAGTGTGAACCATCTACAAGATGCACTGCAAAAATTCACCAAAGCTCCTTAGACATCACCTTCCAAACCTACGACCACGACCATCTGGATGGACAAGGGCAGCAGATACTTGGGAAAAGCACCACCTGCAGGTTCTGCTCCAAGCCGCTCATAATCGTGACTAGGAAATATATCACTGTTCCTTCATTGTCACTGGGTCAAAATCCTGGAGCTTCCTTCCTAATGACATTCCCTACAGCAAATGGACCACAGTAATTCAAGACTGCAACTCACCATCTTTTCACGGGCAATTGTGATGGGCCATAAATGCTGGCCTAGTCAGTGATAAATTATTATGATAAATTACTTCCCATTCTAGCAATGAATAGAAGAAGATGGAGGATTAGTCATGATCGTATTAGGTGGTGAAACAAACTTGATTGGCTAAATGGCTTACTCTTGTTTCTACGTTTCGGTGCTTCTATCCCTCACTTTCTATTTCGAGTGGTTAGTTAATTTGGCTGGGTGGCTGGTTTGCAGTGCGGTGATTCCAACTGCATGGGTTTAATTCCTGTACTGGCTGAGGTCACCATGAACATATGTGCCTTCTCAACCTCAATCCTTGCCTGAGGTGTGGAGACCCTCATATTCAGCTCACTTTTCTAAAGAGAGAGTGTCATATGGTCTCCTTGTGAATTTCACATTACACTCATTTGCTTCTATGAATTATTTCTTTCACTGGAGAGAATGGCAGCGTGATCAATATTTGCCAGATGAAACCTAAAATGAAGGTGTCTTGATTGTGTCATCTACATGACCTCCTTAATGGTATGGTGGTAATGAGCTCCGTCTTTTCAATCAATGGTAAACATGCCCACTCTGCTTTTCACTAACAGGATACACAAGTGAGACAACTTTCCTTTGATTAAATGATGCCTATAGGTAATAACACAATAGAAATGAATTGCCATCTCTTAAAAAGACAGAATGGTATTCAGGGATAGGCAGTGAAGGAAATGAATTAAGGAAATAATTAGCCATGAGCTAGAATAGCAGCAAAGGCTTGATGGGCTGAATAGCCTACTTCTGTTTCTATATGCTGTACATTGTTGAAAGCTCAACTTCCAAATGAAGACAATAGAAATTGTTTCAGAGACAGATGATAGAGCTCCATTAGAACAGTCCATTGGGTAAGATATATTTTATAAGAGGAGTAATTTTCCAAATGGATGTTAAATTGCAATGCCCATTTTCCAACATGTAATCCAGACAATTGAAAATGGGCTGGGCTGTTCTAGCTCTCAGGCCAAGTTTGAAAATGGCACAGCTTATAAGGGAGGGAAACTTGGAGCCTGAGAAGATTGGAAAGCTTGTCAGGTCTTCCAGCAATCAGCCAGTTGGATGATGCAGTGCTTTCAACTGGAATTCGGACCTGGGGCAAAGAAGTCCTGGCCATCAAGAGCTGCTGACAAATCCAAGGTGGAAGCTCCAGAAGTCCTAACAACTTGATCCCCAGCCACAGGCTCCCAGGATGGACAATCCCTCCAGGGAAAGCTAGTTGTTGCTTGGGAGTGGTCTCATGAGATTTGGAAGTAAGGGCAATGGGATATCTCTCAGGCACCATCCCACTTCCCCATGCTCAGTCCATTGATTGTGAAGACATTAAAGCAGATGGAGAGACCCTCCAACTGACAGCCTGTTTGCACTGTTTAGAGGGGCCAGTTCTTTCTGGCCTCACCTGGAGTTGAAACAGTTCCAGCCCAGACAGCACAAGGCCCTTACGTAGTTCTTAATTGGCTTCTTAAATCTCCTAGCAACCGGTGGGATAGGACCTTGGGCCATCTGGCCCAGAATTTATTTGAGGAAAAACAGAAAAGTGTCAGTGTTCTGGTCCACCACCATCCTGCTTACTGATGTTTACTTCTCATCTCTGGGCCTACTACCTCAGATTCTGGAAGATTCTAGGACTTGGAATGTGTGTTTGTGAAATAATTTATTTTATGATATGACATAATGTCAGTACCCTATCCTGGTTATGATATGTTATTACTGTAAGCTGCCAGTTAAGTATTTGATAGTTATTTTGAAATAATTTGTGCTGGTGTATCTTTATGGCATTACAGTGTTCAAAATACTGGAGCATCAGTGTTGCAGTGTTCCATTTTCGTTACAAAAGAAATAACCATTTTTAAATGAATTAGTAACTGTTTATTTTCATATGATTTTAAGTACAAATGCACAGTCTGACTAAATATATGAAGTGTAACATATAATGCTGCGCTTCTGAAAGTGTGATGTTTGAGCAAATTTTCACATCTTGAAGATTATTTTGCTTTCTTTTCTTGGTAAGGGATGTACTGACTGGAGCTGTGTTCGGTTGCATTGGTGGCGGAATCCTGATATATCTGTCCTATTCATTTTATAAAAAGTGGAGAATGGATGAAAGACTCCGTGCATTCTTAAGGTACTAAATCAACAGATTATTGTATTGTTTTTAAGTTGGCTGACTGTGTTTTCTTGAATTTAAGATTTGAAAGGGCCACTATGAAGGCAACATGTTCTTTATATCCAAAGATTAAATAGATTTTTATGTAGTAATGAGATGCCCAAATTTTATTCCAGTCCTGTGATTTCAAATAAAAAAAATGGAACTTGCAACGTCTAACAGCAATTACTCATTTAAATAAATATATCCAAGATTCTTGTTTAATTTATACATTTCAACTCATTGGTTCTATTAATGTGAAAACATGACCACAATTGGAAAGATATTGCTACAACTTCAATAAGTATCCTGACCTTCTGTTTCTTGCACTTTCATTTCATTTAATGGAAAGGTATGAATGTATATATAATCCATAGAATGCAAGGTTAATTTCAAGTTAGGAATGTGGTTAAGACTTGCAGTATAATTCTAAACCATAACCGAGAAATCTGAGTGCTTTGTCAATAATTTAAAGTTGAAGACGTCCTGATTGATTGATCGATTTATTGCCACATGTACCGAAGTATAGTGAAAAACTTTGTTTATGAGCAGTACTGGCAGACAAGTAAGGATGTACAGAACAGAGGTTATAAAAAGACTTAGACAGAGGCATACAGATTACATAGCACAGGGCGTATGCTAGGCAAGATCAACATTAGCAAGATCAGCATTGTTTGAGGCTAGAGGGCCCTTCCTCAGTCTAATAATGGCTGGGAAGAAGCTGTTCCTGAACCTGCTGGTGCATATGTTTAGGCTTCTATATCCTCGGCCTGACGAAGAGTTTGTAGGAGGTCATTACCCGGGGTGCGGTGGGTCTTTGATAATGTTGGCAGCCTTTCCATGGATGGAAGGTTGGCTTTTGTGATGGTCTGGGCTGTGCACACCACCTTCTGCAGTTTCTTACGGTCCTGGGCAGAGCAGTTGCCACACCAGGCCGTTATGCACCCGGACAGTATGCTTTCAATGGTGCATTTGTAGAAGTTGGTGTGGGACCTTATGGACATGCCAAATTACCTGAGCTGCCTGAAGAAGAAGAGGCATTGTTGTGGTTTATCGACCGTCCTATCTACGTGGGAGGTCCAGGACAGGTCGTTGGTTATTGTCACTCTGCGGAACTTGACGCTCTCCACCCTCTCAACCTCAGTTCCATTGATGTAGATGGGGGCGTGTCCTTCTCCTTTCTTTCTGAAGTCAGTAATCGGTTCTTTAGTTTTGCTGACGTAGAGAGAGAGCTTGTTTTCATTGCACCATGTCACCAAGCCCTCTATCGCCCTTTTGTGTTTTGATTCGTTGTTGTTAGATATCGTCCTACTATGGTGGTGTCGTCAGCGAACTTGTAGATGGTGCTTGTTCAAAATTTGACAACACAGTCATAGGTGTACAGGGAGTACAGTATCGGGCTGAGGACACATCCTTGAGGGGCTCCAGTGTTGAGTGTTATTGTGGAGGAGGTGCAGTTATCTATTCTCACTGATTGCGGTCTGTGGGTCAGAAAGCTGAGGATCCAGCTACAGAGGGTGGAGCCGAGACCAAGGTCACAGAGTTTTGAGATCAGTCTGAAGGGGATAATGGTGTTGAAGGCAGAGCTGTAGTCAATCGGCAGGAGACTGATGTAGGTGTCCTTGTTATCCAGATGTTTCAGGGATGAGTGCAGGGCAAGGGATATGGCATCCGCTGTGGACCTGTTATGTTAGTAGGGAAGTTGTAGGGGATTGGGACAGGCTGGGAGACTGGAGTTGATGTGGACCAGCCTCTCGAAGCACTTCATGATTATTGAAGTCAGAGCAATTGGACAGTAGTCATTAAGGCACACCGCACATGCTTTAGGTACGGAGATGATGGTGGTCTTCTTGAAGCAGGTGGGGACTTCGACTTGTCGGAGGGACAGGTTGAAGATGTCGGTGAATACCTCCGCTAGTTGGTCCGCACAGGATCTGAGTGTTCAGCCGGGGACACCATCCGGGCCTGTTGCTTTGCTGGGGTTGATTCTCAGGAAGACTGATCTGACACCTGCAGCGGTAAGCGAGGGTACAGGTGAGTCTGGGGCTGTCGGGGCAGGCGTTGCCATGCCGGTGGTATTCTGCTCCAACCGAGCGTAGAAAGCATTGAGCATGTCAGGGAGGCATGTGTCTTTGTCCATTATCTTGTCCGCTTACCTTGCAATGTTGTTAGAAACTGTATCCAACAGATGACAAGAAATAATCGATATCAGAAAAAAGAGAAGTTTACACCTCTGTTTCTCATATTTCAAAAGGACCAGGTTTTCACTTTAGAAGCTGAAAGCTTGAGTGGGGAGATCTCCTGGCTCGTAGAGTCAAAGAATCATACAACACGGAAACAGACCCTTCGGTCCAATTCGGCAGACTTATGTCCTGATTATTGAAGGGAATTGAGTCTGTGTGTGAGTGATTAATTGTCCTGGAAAAGAAAGTAGATCAAATGGCAGATCAGCAACAAAAAATGTTTAAAAATGACACGGATAAGATACTTTTTAACAAGGAGTAAAAATGTGCATTCAAAGTAGTGCCCAAGCAAAAGGCGAATAAGTTAGAACCAAAATGCAACTTAAGGACAGACATATAATATAGCATCGGATATAAAAGAGGAAATTATGCCCAATACTTAAAAAGGGAGCAAAAAATGAGATCAGAAATATTGAGATGGAAATGTGAAAAGAAGAATGACATCAGAACTAACGAGAAAAGGGGTTTTTCTAAGCTCAGACATGAAAGGCCAGTTAAAGGAGGGGTAAGATAACCTGGTCTCAAAGCAGACTGTTGTACATGAAGCAAGAAGATGGTGGGGATGCCTCTGTGTTTTCCACATTTTTTATTGTAGAAGGTAAAAATGTGATTGTGGGGAACTGTAACGAAGATCTAGAACAGTCGTTGCTGAAGATAAATTTTCACAAGCTACCATGAAAACATACTGGTAATAAATAAAAGTTACCCCCCTTGTCCAGATAGTATGCACCCCAGATTAAATTGAGCAAAAGATGGTGAAAGCACAAAACATAAATTCACAGTAGTCTTTTGAAATGGGAATTGTGCCAAAGGAATGGAAGGTGGGAGTATTAAGGTAAGGTAAAGTTACCAAAGTCTTACCAGACCATAAGACTGCACTCTCAGATAGGAACGATTGGTGGTGGTTTAACCTGAGGGTAACCATGCCTCAGACGAGGGGAGAGGTTGGAAAGGAGAGTCCTTTGTGGCAAGCTCAGCCAAAGCAGGGATTGAACCCACACTGTTGGTGTCACTCTACATTGCAAACTAGTCAGGAACAAAAACAAAAGCTCAGCAGGTCTGGCAGCATCTGTGGAGGAGAAAACAGAGTTAACGTTTCTGGTCTGGTGACCTTTCCTCAGAACTGGACATTGCAAACTAGTCATCCAGGCAATTGAACTAACCAACCCCTACGCAGAATAAAGAAGTGTGTCCAGCAAGAAATTATGTCTTAATTAATTTTAATTCCACAGAGTTAATATATTTGGGTGACATTAATATCAACTTAGCAAGGCACCTGGGATAGCCAGTTTCTGGAAAGGGCAGGTTGAAGTTAATTTCTTTAAATGAATCATAGCAGGTGGAGGAAGAGAATGCCATGAACGTGGAATGTATGTATAAGGTGATATTGAGAACGTACCACATATCAGAAATATAATGAGAATGAATGGATATGGTATTAAGGCCAGTGTAATTATTCACATGTGGTGACAACTTCTGGACAGAACGGTGGAAGAAAAGGTGTTTTCAGATTGACAGGATTTGAGAAATGGAGTGTCTCATTAAAGTTTCTTTGCTACATTCATTGTTTAAATTCTTTTTAAGGGATGTGGGCATTACTGACAAGGCCAGCATTTGTTGCCCTATTCCTAATTACCTTTGAACTTAATGGCTTACTAAGAGGGCAGTTAAGAGTCAACCACATTGCAGTGGACCCGAAATCAAAGTAGATAAGGATTCAGATTTACTTTCCCAAAGAGATTCATGGTTACCATTCCTGAGACTAGCTTTTAATTCCAAATTTTTCTTTATTAATTAACTGAAATTTATGGCCCAAGAACATTAGCCTGGATATTTGAGATTATTAATCTCATAACTTTACCACCAGCAATACTGTTGCTCCCTTATACATGATATAGGAACAAAGGGTTGGCATCAAAGTTAGCTGTGTGTGAAACTTTATAGGAGACAGTGTTAACAGAGTGAGCAGAAAGTTTGAAGATAATGTTCAATGGTGGGAAATATAAAGTCATATTTTTATAGGGTACTGGAGAGTGAAGAACATGAAATTTAAGTATACTCCCACATAGAAGGATTGTGAGCTGAGAGATGTCTAAGTGAAGAGATATGAGGTAAACTAATGGTATCTAATTGGTTATTGGCTAGAAAACTGATGGAGGTCAATTGAAGGTAAAATTGGGTGAGATGTAAAATGGCTGGATGATCTAATCACACCAGTTTTCCACTGACAGGAAAAGGCTACATTTACACCACACTGATCACCATCATTATCAATTAATATCTACAGTGTGGAAACAGGCCCTTCGGCCCAAGAAGTTCACACCGACCCATCCCTGTATAACCCACCTAATCTACACATCCCTGAACACTACGGGCAATTTAGCATGGCCAATCCACCTAACCTGCACATCTTTGTACTGTGGGAGGAAACCCATGCAGACACAGGGAGAATGTGCAAACTCTACACAGACAGTTGCCCGAGGGTGGAATCAAACCCAGGTCCCTGGCACTGTAAGGCAGCAGTGCTAACCACTGAGCTGCTCACTGGGTATTTTCCCCAGAATTTTCACTATTAAAGGGGACAAAGCAGATTCTGATTTCTGTATATGAGACACAAAATATAAAAGCCAAAATCGTGAATTTGTACAAACACTTATTTCCACTGATTGTCAAATTAATGACGAGGGGGAGAAGATAAATATTATCAACAAAAGACAGTGAATGTTGTTAGAAGAA